GAATCGCATCACGAGTTTCACCAAATAAGAGCACACCAAAAGCTCATAATTGACAATGCTGGAATAGTCTCATCATCATCAATGAAGAACCAATGGTGTGATGGTCTCGGGCGTCTGCCCTCATGCTTTCACAACGGAGGTGTTATCTAGGCTGCTCTACGACCTGCTGATGACGTCAACCTGTCTCTTATACACATCTAAACATTAGAGGCTGGGGACCTCTACGTAGACCTCGCAGCACAAAATTCGAATTCCAATCTTCAAAGATTAGAGGCCAAAAAAAAAAAAACAAGATTAGAGGCTGGGGACCTCTACGTAGATCCCGGCTGGGGATCTCTACGTAGACATCGCAGCTCTCAGGCTGCCAGACCATGCTATCTTCTCTGTATCGTTCCTTTTTTTTTTTTTGGTAACAACATTTCATTAATCGGCTGGGAAACGGGCCCAGCGTCCCTCACAACTATGGCTGGGAGCATTACCCAGTTTCGCCTCAAGAATAAAAAGAGTAGAGACAGGAGGGCTATCGTTCCAATTTTAACGGATGTCCCGAAGGGCGGCCGTTAAATTACCGGTCCGCGCCCGCGGTGCAATTTCTTTTCTCGTTTTTGTTTTTTAGTTTTTTTTTTCCTTTTTCTTCTTGGATGCTTTTTTTTTTTTTTTTCCCCGACATAGGCGTGAAACGACCCGCCTCTCAATTTATGACATTCATGTCCAAGACGTACAGTGCTCTTATTATGTATAAAATTGTTATTGGGTGTTTGTGGTTTTTTTTTTTTTTTTTTTGAATGGGTTGTGTTTTAGTTTTATGTGTTTCCCATTTTCAAGTCGCTACGAAAAACACCCAATTACAACACACTGGCAGGGGTGTCCATCGAGAAAGGGGTTTTCTAGGCCTGCTTTGATGTGTGTCAAACGAGAAAGGGGGTGTACTATGATCTTGAAAGTTCTCTGCGAAACGTCGGAATCTGGATGAGCACACATAAATTATCACAAAAGGGAACTACGGGTCCCGATCTAATAATTGTCAGGATTCAAAGTCAGGAGCTGCTGATGATGAACAGCTGCATGGGCCCCCCTTTTTTTTTTTTTTTTTTTT